TACAATGATAATCAATGTATTACTGTATATTGGGTTGATAACTATTTATTTTATTTGCAACTGTAAGCGGTGACGCACGAATGTTTGTGACCAAACGACATGTTACATAGATATGTAACTGATTATATTTTTTATGTTATATGTATGTTTTTGTTTGTTTTTAAAAAAAAAAAATTTTAAATAGGGAAGCTCTGGTTGGGCCACTCTGGGACATTCACAAAGTTGTACCTAGGCCATTGCCTTGGCTGCATGCTTAGGATCGTTGTCATGTTGGAAAGTGAACCTTCAGCCCAGTATGAGGTCCTGACCACTGTGGAACAGGCTTTCATTGAGCATATGCCTGTACTTTGCTCCATTCAGTTTTCTCTCAATCCTGACCAGGCTTCCAGTCCGTGCTGCTGAAAAACACCCCACAGCATGATGCTGTCACCACCATTCTTCACTGTTGGGATGATGATGGGCAGGTGATGAGTGGTGCCCAGTACCCTCTAGACATAACATTTAGAATTGAAGCCAAACAGTTCAATCTTGGTTTCATGAGACCAGAGAATCTTGTTCCTCACAGTCTCAGAGTCCTTCAGATGCTTTTTTGCAAACTCCAAGCAGGCTTTCATGTGTTTTGCACTGAGAAGAGGCTTCCATCAAACCACTCTGTAATAAAGTCCAGATCCATGGAGGGTTGCAGTGATAGTTGTCCTTCTAGAATTCTGTCCCATCTCCACAGGATCTCTGGAACTCAGTCAGAGTGACCATCAGATTCTTGGTACTTTTCTTACTTTTTGCTCAGTTTGACTGGGTAACCAGCTCTTGGAAAAGTCCTGGCTGTGCCAAACCTCCTCCATTTGAGAATTATGGAGGCCATTGTGCTTTTAGGAACCTTCAGTGCAGCAAGAAATTTTATTGTAGCCTTCTCCAGATCTATGCCTTGCAATAATCCTGTCTCTGAGTTCTGCTGAAAGATCATTTGACCTCATGGCTTTTGCTCTGTTACAATATGCATTGTCAATGGTGAGGCCTTCTATAGAGAGATGTATGCCTTTCCAACTCATGTCCAATCAATTTAATTTACCACAGGTGGGCTCCAATCAAGGTGTAGGAATATGTCAGCAACTATTAAAAGAAATGGAGTGCACCAGAGCTAAATTTCAAGAATTGTTGTAAAGGATCTGAATGCTTATGCCAGTGTGATTGTCAGGGATCCAAAAAAACACCCCCAACAAAATAAAACTCCGAGGCTTGTGTTTCCTTAAAATTCCACTTTATTAGAGATGTCATGTTGGCACATCTGGGAAAATCTGAAAGTGAGAACTTCCAGGTTTTCCCACCCAGTTGAAAGTTCAAGATCCTGCCCCAACATCCACAAGTTCATCACATGGTCCAATCTTTCACTGCCATGAAGACAGATCCCTCCCATCCACATCTGGCCAGGTGCAAAGAAAAAAATCGACCTTGATTTTCTAAGAAGAATGTTATTATGGCTACACATCACCCAGCTCCCTATATCCCCCCTCCCATTTTCCCACAGTAGAAAGTGTGGCAGACCTGAAATCCAAACCAAAAGAAAAGATGGCTTGCAGGTCTGACAGTGATATATCAGTTTTTTTTAAATAAATTTATAGACATTTCTAAAATTCTGTTTTTACTTTGTCATTATGGGGTTCTAATGAGAAAAAAATGATTATGATTCAACTGAGCAAAATACAGATGCTCCAATTTTATAAAACTGAACCTGTTCTACCTTGTCAGTCTATTAATCATGTCAGAATCTACAGATTCGATCTAAAAGCTTTGGGCCTTCCAAAATGAAAAAGAACTGATACTAGGAGTTCTACCAGCACATGAAGGGCATTGAGGACAACGATTTTACATTAGTGGAAACATTTTTCCACTCACACATGTTAATCTAGGACCAAAATTAAAATGTAGTCTTTGGTAGTTATTATTCAATAACATCACCTTTGGATCCATATGCAAATCTGCAGATTTCTAGATATACCCATTGTCTAAAAACCTGATACAAAGAAAATCCATCATATAGTGACATCAAATATTATCAAATTTCATTCTTCAAAATTTTGTATTAAATTAAATTCCTCATATAACATGTTTTTTATGTACAGTTCAGTATTATTCTAGAACTATCAAGTAGTGTTAAATAATTTTTAATTTGTGTGTGTGTGTGTGTGTGTGTGTGTGTGTGTGTGTGTGTGTGTAAAATATTTTGCAGCAATATGAAGGGGGAATAATCTAATCTATGTTGATGTAAACACTTCTAACTTTAAAATAATTTCAGGTCCTAATTATTGGATGTCATTCAATGATTAAAAGCCAAAAGGACAAAAGAGAAAGAGTTTTACAAAATCTATAAAGGGTTGGCCTCCTTTTTCTATGGAACATATATATCCCATTTCATATATCTCTTCATTGGAACTCCGCTCAAAATTCTATTATGAACTTTTGTCCTAACTTTGAAGGGTAGGAGGGAAAGAAACTGGCAACAGATATATCAAATTTAAGGAAAAGATACATTTTTAACCTTAAAATTATTGAAATGTTCCCATTTCCTGAAATGTTCTAACTATAGCAGTGTTAATCCACAGAGACTTCAGAATGAGTGTACATAATGGATGAAGATGATGTTGATAAAGATTAGTGATAATAATGGAATAGATAGGAAGGTGAAAAGAGTTTTGAAACTTTTTCAATTTGAAATACTCCATTTTGAATGCAAAATGATTGCCTGAAGTACCAAAGTATACTTACCATTTCCCTGAATGCAGTTTCAATGGCTCCCATGACAAGGCATTCCTGCAAGATCTTTTTTTCTGTAAAGAAGCGAGTAGGTGGAGTGCCAGGTGAACCGGGAGCTCCAACACTTCCTCTCAATGAGGCTGCCCGGGTTAGAGTTCTGATGTTGGCATTCATGCTTTCTGGCTCTTCCCCCAAGCAGGTTGGCGGTGGAATAGCAGAGTTTTTCAGGATGTCCACAATCTCCTGCAACTGCTCTACAATGTGATGCTGCAGCAACTTGGAGGCTACCACAGCTGCTCCAGATCCAGCATGGCCATCAAATAATGACCAATAATGAAAAGAGATGCTATCCGATTCCTGTTTAAGGAAAGAAGTATTTTTAGGAAATATTTCATTGTGGCTCTCCCATTAGTAGAATAAAAGCAGGTTTATACATTGAAATAGTTTTGAGGGAGGAGAATATATGGGGAGAATCTAAGCATAACATAAATCTTGATCTTAGCTCTACAATCTACTTTGTTTTCTGTTTGTACAAAAACAGTTTGTGAACAAACTTTGAAAAATATTCAAAGTTTTTCTTATCGACAATAGCAGTTTATTTTGCATAGATATGAATATTTCTACATATAATTTGGAAATTTAATTTTAAACTCTCAAATCAGCTCAGCACATTTGTTCAAGTTGAATGATCAATTGCATTTGGCTCACATCCAATTCATACAAGTTTATCAAGAATCCAGGACAATCTTTTCCTTAAAAACTTATTAAGCTTTTAAGGAACTTTCACTAATAAGTCTAAACACCCCATCTAGAATGTCTCACTTGTATTGCTACCTATTAATACAGCACACAGGAAGATCTTTACCACACAGATAAAACAAATGCTTTAGGGTGGAGGAATTCTCACCTCCAGCAGCATATAATTGTGCATTATTACACTTTTAGTATAACAATATTTATGGTATGATTACTTTATTCAGTTTCATCATTTCAGACTTGTAGTATGGAAACAAAATGCTTTGACTTGCAAAGTAACAGTGCCCTCTAGTAGTATGTTTCACAGCAGTATTGCTCACATTTTAGGAAAGAAGATAAACTTGTTAAGAAAACACTGTGTGTGTGTGTGGTGTGTGTGTGTGTGTGTGTGTGTGTGTGTTCATTCTTATACCAAAATGTTTATAGGTGAACCAATTGGCTGAATCACTGAAAAGATACAGAGACTTACTGAATTCTCTTTCAACTGCAATCCTTCCCCATTGGGCAATGACGATCTCCGCTTACTAGAGGAATTTCTGTTTGGTGTTGAATTAGTTGTTCCAATTTTCTTCTTCACCGTAAGCACTTCGCAACTTGCTTGGTCCTCATTATGTGTACTTTTCCCTGCATTGATCACTCTATGAAGAAAAAGGAACAATCAAAAGAATATTTTAAAAAAAACTAATTTGTTGTTTGTATGTATTTAACTCCTTGGAATTTAAATGCCTCATTGAACAAAACTTCAATTTATAAAATTTATAACACATGAAATAAATAACATTTTAGGATTTACAGTAATTCCTGGGCAAAGGGAACTCAGATTTGAGAGAGACCCACTTAGTTGCAGTTACTACTAAGGGACTTTTCAGTGAAAAATCCTCTGATAAATTACCACCTCACCACGCAACAGACTGCAGCATTGATATTCGCCCCAGGGTGAAACTTCCAAAACCCCAGATTTACTCAATGACCCCACGCGAAATGGAGGAATTACAGAGGTTTATTGAACCTGCTAGGCCACGGGTGGCTGCCCCAGTGTTGTTCAGAGAAAAGAAAGATGGTTCCTTTCGTCTCTGCATTAATTACAAGAATCTTAATACTGTATGCATGGAAAATGTTTACCCCTTCCCTCTGATGAAAGATATGTTGGCCCAATTGGGTAAAGGAAAGATCTTCACGAAATTGGACCTAAGAGAGGCCTACTACAGAGTCAGAATCAAAGAGGCAGATGAGGACTTCCTATGGTGACGTCACTGTGCTTAGAGTGGAGGGAAGGAAGCTCTCCTAACCTCTAACTCTAATTTCTTCATTTAGGCTCATTTTTGAGCATTGTTGATCCTGAAGGGGCCAACAGATTAAGGGGAATACTCTGTAGACACTGAGGTGATAGGGCAAATCCTCCTGCGGATAGGAGAAACCCCTTCAATGGACGAGGAACTATCCTGCCATTTGGTTAGGACCAGAACGATAGCAACCGCATAAGAAGGAAGCGAATAGACAGAGAAGCAGTGAAAATCGGATACTTGTTACTATTGCTGACAACCCAAAGAGGAAGGCAACGCGAAACTGGCAGAGAGGGTGAGCTGGAAAGAAGAAGGCGCCGGGAGAAAGGCTGTTTTTGCAGCTCAATTTTGCCAAAAAGAACTGGAACAGAGACACTGAGACGCTGGGACGGAAGGGACAGCCGGAAGAGGCTAAAGGAANCCCCTAACCCTTTAGGGAAAAAAAACTCCAGGGGTGTTCAAACTTGACAGCTTTAAGACTTGTGGACTTCAACTCCCAGAATTCCTCCTCTCGCTCTTCCATCTTGATGATGTGCGGACGGGCTGGGGGAGGGAACTGGAACCGGTTCTAAACGGCACCGTAGATTTGTGGAACCTCTTCTATAGAAGAGGTCAGAACTGGCAGGAACCCAGCCCTGCTTTTGCTGAAGGTGAATGAGAAGAATTCACATTCGTTTAATAAAAAGGGGTTTTGCCGGAACCAGGAATCTGCTTCCTGCTTTTTGGGGAAGCCTAGGGCAGAACAGAGTGCTGATAGAGGAAGAGGAGGAGGAGGAAGACTGTTGGGGTCCTTGGTACTCTCTGAGGTTGGTGGTTTTCTTGCAGGCATTTCATGACCCATCTAGGGAACATCGTCAGCGCCGGAAAGGAATGGAGTTTGCAGAGAGGAGCAGTGGGTGGATGAGGAGGAGGAGGAGGAGGAGGAAGATTATGGAGTCCTTGTTGCTCTCTGAGCTAGGTAGTTTTCCTACAGACATTTCCTTACCCAACCAGGGAACACCCTCAGTGTTAGAAGGGTGAGTGGTTTGCAGAGAGGAGGAGGAGGAGAAGGAGAACATTTAAGAAACGCAGAAGTAAAATATAGACACAAAACAGCCTCCTGCTAATATATTTAAAAACCTGCTGTGCTTAAACCGTGTGATGAATCCAGCACACCGACTAGTCCAGGGGTCTCCAACCTTGGCAACCGGACTTCAACTCCCAGAATTCCCCAGCTGGGGAGTTCTGGGAGTTGAAGTCCGCCGAGCTTAAAAGTTGCCAAGATTTGGAGACCCCTGGACTCGAACGTGAAGTTTTCCCATTGGCCCGTCCTTCCTTCTAAACCTTTTTCAGATCAAGGACCTTCAAAAACTCCTTTGCCTCTTCGGGCTCCCAAGTGAAGCGCTGAGATTTGGCAAAAACGGTTGGATATTTTTCAACCTTGCCAACTTTGAAGAAATGCGGCCTTCCAACTCCCAGAATTCCCCCAGCTAACCAATGCTGGCTGGGGGATTCTGGGAGTTGAAGTTCATACCTCTTAAGGTTGCCAAGGTTGCAAAAACAAAAAAAACAACGGCCTAGGATCAAGGATTTGGGATCCACTTTCGCAGCCGGAATTCGCTTTCAGACATTGGGAGGACTTGATTTCCTCGCTCAACGTCGGGTGGACGAAACGACGGCTAACATTATTAACGCAAAAACGAGACACGCGGAACTCATCCAAGCAGTTCTTGCTTACGGCCAATTTGTTCAGCAGCTTTCGAAAGGACAACGGCACTGGAAGCAGTGGTTTAGGGTCAGTCCTCACCCTTACGACCGTCACAGCCTTCCCCGCGGTCACGTGATCCAAACGTTGAGGCTCTTGGCAACTGGCATGTATTTCATAACGGTTGCGGCGCCCTGAAGTCATGTGATCTGCCATTCGCGGCCTTCCCAGCCGAGCAAAGTCAGTGGGAGAAGATGGGTTCGCTTAACAGCCACGTGCTTCGCTTAACAACGACAGCGGTTCGCTTAACAACCCTGCGGCAAAACCGGTCGTAAAATCAGATGCGAGTCCCTTTAACGGCCCGCCTTGCTTAGCAACAGAATTTATTTATTTTTTGCTTTCCACCATGGCCGTAAGTCAAGGATCTCCTGTCTGGAAGTCCACGTTTCTCTCTTTTAATATTTTATTTCCTTCCGCGAAGACTTTTTCTTCTGGAGAAAGTCTGCAAGATGAAGGGGGAAAAAAGCTGTGCTGTCTCTCTCGTTTTTTTTCACAATTAACTATGTGATTTCTAGGAAGCCGGAATGAGGAACTGCCACGCATTTGGGCCACATCATTTTCATTCCATTGTGTCGGGAAGCCGTTCAGGATGGCGCTTGCTTGCTTTCCATGGAATATTTGCATGATTGTTTTCGTTGGGCGTCGTTGCCCGAGGCCTTGCTTCGGAAATCATCTGTTTACTGCATAATTCCTGCTGACCTGACTTGAAATCAAAACTTTATTTTCTCTACAGGAAAAAAAAATTATGTCCTCCTTTACTGCGATTGAAACGATAATTAACGTTAACATCAAATACCTCTTCTTAGAGAAGTTTTTAATATGCCTTACTAGGGCGCACAGTTTCAAACCCCAAAGATCCCCAATTTGCACTTATTGATTCTGGGAAATTGTTTTATTTTTCTCTGGGCTCAGTGGTTTAAGCGGCTTTCCAAGATGAGAAGCTGAGATACCGAAATTGGATACCGGAGGGGGGGTCTATATGCCCGCATCTTCAGTTAAATGTTCGATTATCATCACTTTGGTCCAGTGGTTAAGACCCTAGGGTTAAAAACCTGGAGATGGTGAATACTAGTTCCGCCTTACGCTCGAAAGCTGGCTTGAGTGATTGTGGGCTGCTCACTAGGAGCTGGTGAGTTCTAGTCCCGCTTTAACACCTGGCTAGATGGCTCTGGGCCATTCACCAGGAGACTGTGAGTTCTAGTCCAGCTTCAGGCATGAAAGCTGGCTAGGTGACTTTGGGCCACCGGGAGACTGTGAGTTCTAGTTCCACCTCAGGCATGAAAGCTGGCTGGGTGACTTTGGGCCAATTACCGGGAGATGGTGAGTTCTAGTTCCACCTTAGGCCCGAAAGCTGNAAATAGAATAGGATAGAATGTAGAATAGAAAATAGAATAGAATAGAATATAGAATAGAAAATAAAATAGAATAGAAAATAAAATAGAATAGAAAATAGAATAGAATAACAGTTGATAGGGACCTTGGAGGTCTTCTAGTCCAACCCCCTGCCTAGGCAGGAAACCCTAAGCCATTTCAGAAAAAATGGTTGCCCAACATCTTCTTAAAGACTTCCAGTGTTGGAGCATTCACCACACTGTTTAATACCGTCCCAAGTGCAACGGCACTGAAAATGCAACTTACGACCGTTTTTCGCACTTGTGACCGTTGCAGCCTCCCTGTGGTCAAAATTCAGACGCTTGGCAACTGGTTTCATAGTTACGACAGTCACAGTGTCTCAGGGTCACGTCATCCTCTTTGGTGACCGTCTGACCAGCAGAGTCCAGGGGGGGAACCCAGATTCACTTAACGACCGTCTTAGTAACTTAACCACCGCCAGGATTCACTTAGCCACTGTGGTCAGCAAGCTCGTAAAATGGGGCGGCGAAACCTCGCTGAACCGATGTCTCGCTTAGCCACAGAGAGAGGTTGGACTGCGTGGTGGTCGTAAGTTGAGGACTATCTGAAACTGGGCCCCTTCGCCAAAGAGGCCCCGTGGACCCAAAATGGGTTTTCAGCCTTTGAAGCGGTGAAGAATATTTGTAAAGGGGAATATTTTGCTTTTGAGGTCTCGCATGTTTATTCCGCTCTCGCTGACCACAGAGAGTGCGGCAGGAGGGTCCAGTCGAAGCCGCTTTTTCGTGGCCTCCTGACCTCCGTGGACAGCAGGCATTCGTGGGAACTGGCTTGCCTGCGTTTGAATTTACAGCAAAGGTTTCTCAACCTGTTAGTCGCCTGCCCTAGATATATATATATACCGTATATTTATATTTATATATTGCAAGGAGAGGCACTTTTGGCTGAATATCCATACTGTGGCAGGTTCGTTCAATAGCAATCACTCTCCTCTGTTTTTTGACCCCCTCATCCCACCCCAGATCAATGGCACACTAATGGATGCGTCACTTCTCTGGATGCTTTCAAATTAAAATGCATGTTGAAGGATGCTTGGAAAGGATTCTTAAGAAAGTGGGAGGGAAGGAGGGAGGAAGAGGTGATAGGAAGGGAGGAAGGAAGGAAGAGGGGGGGGAGAGAGGAAGAAAGGCGGGAAGGAAGAGGGAGGGAAGAAGGAAGGAAGAAAGACATGATAGGAAGAGAGGAGGAAAGAAGGAAGGAA